TGTGGGGGGGGGGGGGGGCATTTACATATGTAGACCAATGGTCATCAAATAAATAAAAATCCTCACAAAAAACCAGTTGTCATACAATAACCGAAAAATTCTACAAATAACCAATAGCCCATTATGTCCAAGCCCATAGCTTTACTTATTCATAAAAATGTACAGCTACAACCAACAACCATGCCAAGCATCAAGCTCCAAACCATTGGCATTCTCCTGCTCACTTAAAGCTGAGAGAGGAAAAAAAGAAAAAAAAAATCACATATTCCTGGAACGCAGAGAGCTTCAGCTCCAAAAAAACCAAACTAACTGCATCTAATCACTACTAAATCCCCACTAACCTCCAAACTTCACAATCTACTAACTGTAAATAAACTAAAACCATCTCAAGGACCTCAGATGAATTAGTGATCAGACCACATAAACCCACATAATAACTACCAAAACTATTTCAAGAGCTCACTGTCATTTTGAAAAAAATCGGCTAAATCCGCGCCCTGACTTATCATTCAAAATGCTTGAGAGAGAAGAAGCAGATGTTGATCTAGACCTGTGCTTCGGACGCTTTGTGCTGCAAGTTGGTTTCAAACCAGGGCTCGATTCCATGTCTGATGTGCTGAATGGTGAGATATATTCAGTCAACGGGGACTCGACTCCTTCAATTACCGACATCAATATGTTTTCATTTTCCATTGTTGAAAACTGAGGCTGCGGTGAATCGTAGTTAACCGGACGAGGCTCCTCCCTGAATCGGCTACTCCTGTTTGTCGCCTCTACAGGAGGATGCATGGCATTTAATTGCTTGTTGATGAGAATTATTGCCTCCTGGCATTCAGCAAGCTTATCTGCAGCTGCAGCAATCTCCCTCTCCTGTAATAGAATGTAAAATAAGAAACAAAGATTTTAAGAAATAATCTACTAGAATTGGTATATAAAAATTTTATATGAAAAAAGGTTCTGACATGTCTTGCTTTAGTGTCTGCGTCAGCTTCTGAATTCCTCATGATCCTAATAACGAAATAAATAGCACATTTGATGTTAGAAACTAAAGCAAAATAGATGTAGAACAGACTAAAAAGCATGAAATCAATAAATGGATGCAATAATGATTAAGTTCTTTCAAAATTGAATTATAAAGAAAAAACAGGTAAATTGTTGTAAGAGAAGCGTCAAAATGGTCTTCTAACTCTTCGTAGAGGTTTCTTTTAGTCGTAGAGTCTATAAAAGTGTCAAATTAGACCCATATTTTTTTTTAATTAAGGCTATAATAGCCCTCCTTGGAAACCATTCAAGCCCATATTAAAAGAGTCCAGAAACTAATTTAACACTTTGAGACTAAAATGACCCATGCCAATAGTCAGAGGGCAGTTTTGGCACTTTAATTAATTTTTAAACTTACAAATATGTAATTAAAGTAACACAAACCTCATTTGCTCCTGCAGACTATCATATTTGGCTAAATCATCGTGATGACTCTGCTTTTCTGAAATGAGCTCACTTTCGAATGTTTCTGCTTTTGATCTTAGCATGCTTATTTCAGCTTCCAGTTCCTCCACACGTGTTTCCAGTAACTTGTAGGATTCAGTCATGCACCTCAGTTGAGTATCAGCCAAATCTTTTGACTTCTGACAAGCAGAAAACTGCAGTTTCAGCTCTGCTAAATTCTGCTCAGTTAAAGCCAGCTGAAGTTTCGCATGTTCCGATGTTTCTCTCCAAGTTATGATATTTAAATCCATGTTATCTCTCTCCATCTTTAGATTTTTAAATTCCTCAAACGAGAAGTTATGTGGTGCGGCCTCAGATTCAGATGAAGGATTGCTAGGAGAAAGATCATAATCTGCAGGTAGCTTCCCTTCCGTTGAATCATGATGAACTATTCCATTCTCTAGGAAGGTTATCTTATCAATGGAATCAGTGCTTCTGTTATTCCCCGTAGTCATTGTTCTCAATATAAGCTCTTTGGTTTCAGACAACACATGGCACAAAGAAAGGATAAAATCAACTGTGTTCAAATTGTTACAGAAGAATTTGTTGACAGAATCTGAAAACTCATCGAGCTTCTCTGCCGCCACCTGAAAGTCAGATGACCTTCCCTGTGTCACTTCCTTGTACAGCAATATAACGAAATCACGGATCCAAGAAATGGCGCTTCTCAGGTCCTGATTCATTGATTTTTCAATGTTCCTGCATGAGTTGTCATGATGCTTTAAAGAGGTTTCATGGTCAGCAATTACTGTCATAATTTGTTCCATAAGCTTTCCTGTTTCGGAATCAAGAACCTTGGATTCAGCCACAGAAGCTATTCGCTCCTGAATCTTTGATAATATTTTTTCTGAAGGTAGATTCTCAGCCACCGAATCAAAATTTAGATTTTGTTTCAAATTAGGAGTTTTTTCTTTACACACGTCCATATGAACATCAACTGATGAAGTTTCATCACAGTTTTCATTCTTCACCTTATTCGCTCCATCATCAGAAACAGTGAAAACTACATTGTTTTCTGATGACAAACCTGCCAATTTCTCCATTTCTAAAAAGTCATCCATAAGTTCCAGTTGATTTGACGTCTGATTAATCTTACTTATATTAGAAATTCTCTCTTTCTTGAACTGTGAAAGCTCTGAAATCAAAGCTGAGGCCCAAGACTCTGCGCTGCTTCCTGCATCATCAACTCCATCCTCGGACATGGAAGCTAAACTCTGGTTGCTTTCATGATGACTCAAAGATCCTTCAAAGGAGACTTCAGCACAGGACTTCAAAGAGATCTTTTGCTGATTCAAAATGAGAATCTGCGCTTCGAGGATATGAAGTTTGTTAGCTGTTTTGGCACATCTGTTTGCTGAATCCTGAAGCTCCATGTTTCTTGTAGACAGTGCCTCCTTTAACAACTTTGTTTCTTCCTCCATTGCTAGTAAACGAGTAGTAAGAAACTCAATCTCTTTGTGAAAATGCTCAACTTCATTAAGATTGGCTTCTTGAGAAAAGAATGGATGGGTGCTCAACATCTCACCAGACTGTCTTTTTCCTCTGGATTCCCCAAAACCATGGCCTAACCTCTCAACTTCCAGTTTCATCTGAGCTAAGGCAGCAGGACCAGGCAACCTCTTTCTCACAAGCCCACGCAACCTCTGACACTCACCTTCTAACTTTGTTATCTTCTTCACATCATCAATGTGCTGCTTGTTCGCTACCTCAGCAGACTTCATACTCATGTTCTTCTCCTCATTACGAATCTCTAACTCCTTGGTTACAACATTTAGCTCATATTTCAGAGAGCTTATTTCCCTTTCATATGACTGAATGTTGGTTTTAAGATCTTCAATCTCGGCGTCAGCCTGAGATTTTTCTTCCTTGATTTTCATCAACAACGCAGATCGTTCATGAAGAGACCTTGAAATTGCGACGGTATCGGCAGAATTCTTACGGAGCTCTTGCTCAAAACCAGCAATCGTAGCTTCAAGTTCAGATTTCGCTTTCTCCCAAAGTTTGGTCTTTGCAAAGACGACATCATGGAGTTTTCTTTCGTTTTCATCCTTCACGTTACGAATCTGCTTTACACACTCCTTAAGTGCGTTATCTAGATGAACTGCTTGCTCTTCAGCAGTGAGTTTAAGAAGGATTACAGATTCGAGCTGCTGTTTTAAAGCCAAAGTTTCAGCTTCAGCCTTCTCCCACCCTATAAGAAGCAAAAAAATTAGAAGATAAAGGCCCTGATAACCCAAATTATTAGGAAAAAAATAGTATTTTACGCCTAGAGAGAAGAGTAAGAAAAAGATTACATTTAAATTTTAAACATGAAGGTACCTGAAATAGCTTCTTCGGAAACTTTAGCATGTTGCTTTACGATATCGTCCTTTGTGGCCATATCAGCCTGAGCTGAGGATAGCTTTTCCGTCATATCATCCAGTTTTTCATTCAGAGCCAACACTTGTTCTTCAATAACAATAAAATGTTCATATTTTTCTACAGAAATTTGTATGAAACTCACAGGCTTTGTATGCTCCTACAAGAAAAAACAAAATCAAACAATACATTGGTTGGTTCCTCCAAGAAAAAGAACTGTCAAAATAATGGCTTTATTATATTCATCTATACATAGATATATGCATATATGCATGCATGTATTCATAATTATATAAGTTTATGCGTATATATGAAGAGAAAGCTTTCAACCACCAGGCAAATGTCAAAAGAACTTTGACTTTTAACCAAAAGGTCCTGGTTTCAAGGTTTTGCATAAGCGGGGAGCATGTTGTTTATGTGTGTTTGGGAAAAAAATATGTAAAATTTTTAGATATATATGTGTGTGTGTGTGTGTGTGTGTGTGATGCCAGTCGTGACTTGTTGTTAAAGCAGCCTCTTTGAAGGTCGTAAGTCCCCTTAGGTCATGAGTTCGAATCCCCCTCTAGGCAGTTTGCCGGTAGTGAGGGCGGTCCTTGAATAGTTAGGCACATTAGGGTGGTTGGGGGCACGTATAATAGCCTTCGACCATTTAAAAAAAAAAGAATATATATATATATATATATATATAATTTATTTATATGGACATAGACATATATACAAAGCAATGTGTAAACTCTAATTTAGATATGACATTCAAGTAGACATTGTGCTCATGAATAACTCATTCTCAGTGTAATAAGTTCATGAGGAGAACACAATAATTTTTTTTTTTGTCCGAGCATAATAACACTTGTGTTTGCTCAACCTTAGTTCTTTTACAGCCCCGATTGAAAAAATATTACGTCCAAAGTCTGGACACAAGTTATGTCCAGACAATAGCTGCAATCAACCGAAAGAAGCGTACAATATTAAAAAAAAAAGACTGATGGATCGCAGTCATTGTCATGGCGTAGTTTGCATCTAGACTCTGGACATAATATTTTCTCCTAAGAGTCGGTAAAACTTCAAAATCATCAAGCAATAGATAAGTCTATTTTATTGAACACATACCACATAATTATTATTGACATACATTTTAATATTTACTTATAGAACCCTCAACCCTTTAAGATACATAAAAAAAAAATACTACTATTAATTTGTTTCAAGTGAAGTGCACCACTTTTTGCATAGACTTTGACAATGTTATATATGTAAATATAAAACTTTAGCTGTTAGATATGTAAGTACATAAAAATTGTGTAATATGCATGTAAATCTTTCTTTATTTTAAAATCATGACACAAATTAAACTTCTGAGTAACTGACCTGCTCTCCCTGCTTGATTCCTGTGTTAGACATAGAAGCCCTAACAGATTCAAAGTCACCACTTGCTTTCTCAGATGACTTCCTCTTCCAAGGCCAACTTCGCCTATCCATTCTTCAAATATTATTCTGCAGTATGCACCTCCAAAGTCATATAATTCATCAAAGAATCATAACTACCAAAAAAAAAAAAAAAAAAAGAAATCTGATTCTGTTCCAGAATATTTTATCATATGATAGCAGCAAAAGTTCTAAACAAACTCTGCTGATTAAAATTTTTACATGGTAAAAAAGCCAGAAAGTTTTCTAGATGCTGAAACCAGAATTAAAAACTGAAGCAGAAAAAAGAAAACAAATGTATAAATGATAATTTACAGAATAAATTCATGAAAAAAACAGTTCCAGAAAGGTAAAATGAAGATCAGATTACAATCCTTTGAAGAAAATAAGAAAATACTAGAAAAAAAAAAAGACAAGAATTTGCAGAATTTGAAAAAGAGGCAAATCCAAAAAAAAGAAAAAAAAAAAAGATATTGAAAGGTACAACGACAAGGAACAACTCAATGACAAGATGATATGTTAAGTGTGGACAGGTAGGTGCAAATTTGTGTAAATTTGAAGATATTGTTGTCATATTATCATGATACAACTGGGAAAATAGTCTAAAGCGCAGATTTTCTTCAATAAAACTATTATCATGATACAACTGGGAAAATAGTCTAAAGCACAGATTTTCTTCAATAAAACAAAAAAAAAATCAGAATTTGCAAAAGAGCAAGAACAATTACAATCCAAAAAAAGAACAATTTTGCACGTGAAAAATGGAAACCGGCGGTAATCGCCTCAAATTTAGAAACAAATTCAAAATGCAATACCAAAACGGAAAAGAAAAAGTTGAAAATCAGAAACTAGCAGCAATCTTTTCCCCAAATGCAGCATAATCGATATCAAAGCAAATGAGTTCAGAAAAGACCAGCAGCTTTCAGAACATAAAGAAGAGAGGAGAAAACAAAAATTAGCACAATGCACGTTGAGTGCTAATAACCCTAGCTGGGCGAAAGAACATAAGCAGTGAGAGAGTTAAGAAAAATACTTGTCCAGACGGAATGCAAGAAGGAGAGAAGAAAATCCAGAGGAGGAGATCTTATGGCTTCAGCTCTCCAAGTTGCGTCAGCTGTCACCTTCAAGTGGGATTCCAGAGCGCACAATGGAGCCGGGAGGATGAGAAAAAGAGGCTCTTTTACTTGCTATGGTGGAGTGAGTACTGGTTCGCCTTTTTCCCAGGCCAACACTTTCTACTTTTCTCCACTCTTACAGCTTCTTATCGGTTACAGGGAAGAGAGAGAGAGGGAGAGAGGGAGAGAGGGAGAGAGGGAGAGAGGGGAATGATCGAAGGCAGTGAGGGAAAAGATAAAATATTGACAGTTGGTGTCGCTTAAAATGCCAAGGAAGGTGTAAAGTATCCAAAGATGCTAACTTTCCTTTTTTTTTTTTTTCTACTTTAGTGGAATTCCGGATTTCCATTTTTTTATAAATGAATAGTTTATAGGGGGTGCATTGGCGAATGATGCCAGACAAGTTGCTCTACTCTCAAGGTCGAACGAATGGTAACAAAACAGGCACTAACAAATCTCCAAAGTGACAGTTTTAATCCCATTGCTGAGATTAATGGAATTATAAATGATTCAGTAAATCGGCTCAAATTGCTTCTAAACTATTTGTTAGAAGAACTCGAGTTAATCTCAATTCATCGAAAGACATTTTTTGCCAAATTATTTAAAATATATTTGGATGGGTTTATTGTAGAATAAAGAGACATCCTGCAAGATCACGTACGACACGTATAGTAACAGCCCAAATATGGTGTAACAATGCACCTCGAATATGGTGCAATAATATATCGTACTAACGGTGTAACAACACACTCTGAATCGGTGTAACGACATACCCTGACGTCGGCGCAACAACGTACTCTGCATATAGTGCAATTACATTTTTCAAAGATGGTACAACAATGCATCCTGAAAATAGTGACTTTCTCGGGACACTGAAAATTCTCTCATTGCGACCTACCACTACAGCTAACATGACCAATTATAAATTACGTGATGTAGTTCACAATTTTAGCCTCTGCTGCATACAAACCTCATCACAGTTCACCACTACGCCCCAGGTGACCAACTACGATTATGTGGTTCACATCTCATGCAACTCCTGACTCCGACCCATATGGCCTACGGACGTCCTCACAGCTCACCACTACGATTTACATGACTAGCTACGACCTAGATAGTTCATACCTTGTTCAACTCCCAACTCTAGTATTTGCGATGTATGGATGTTATCACAACTCAACACTACGACTTACGTGGTTCAAAGCTTGTACAATTCCCAACTTTGGCCTCTATAGCCTACAAACATCATCACATATCACCACTAGGTGTTACATGGCCACAGCTGATGCAAATCCTGAGTTCGACCTTTACAGTCAATGGATGTCATTACAATTCACCATTATGACTTATGTGAACAGCTAGGACATACATGGTCATAACTCATGAAGCTCTCGACTCAGCTTTTATAGCTTACTGACGTCATCACAACTCACCACTACAACAAACGTGACCAACCACAGCCAATGTGGCTCACAACTTTTGCAGCTTCCTACTACAACCTCTACAACTAACAGAAACTTCAGAAGCGATCGTCTGCGACTCACATTGGTCAACCACTGCTATGACTTTCAACTACGGCCTATATGACAAACTTATGCTACAACCATTTTCTATAATATTTATGATGAACTTTTGCCTTTATAGCAATCGAATACGATACTTACAACCCACTATCACCAAGAACTACATTCATTATAGCTAGACTACGACTATTATTAATAAACTATTGTTGTACATTTACAATGATCAACTTTATAACTTCATCTTTTCTAATTTATAAGAAGAGTGAACATTTTTATTCATCTTTCATTGTATAATGTTTCAATTAGGTTAGACTTTGTGATTTTTCTACCTTTTTCTAGCATTTTTCACATAAAATTTTAAGCATCTCCTCCCGTGTACTTTTCTCTTTTATTATTTGAATGTGTTGAATTATCGTTCAACACTAACATGATAATTCATTACTCTACTGCAGTAGACCTTCCAACATGTATCAAGAGTAAATTGATGTACCTGGACTTCATTAACAAAGACATCTTTATTTTTAACACAATGATCAAGTTGTTCAAGAAAATTACCATTTTATATCTCTTCCAATTCTTTCTACTATGTAACCATCAAGTCGTCAAAAAAATAATAATAATTCTCATCAATCAATTTTGACCTTAAATGGTTTGGCATGCAATGTTTGAAAGCATTTTCTCATACATGTTATGTAATAAATTTAATTCATTATCTAAGTTACCCTTTCTTTGTAGTACCCCTGTGATCTATAATTGGTGAAGAGGAATTCATGGAGCAATTTGTCCTTGTGGGCTGAAGTGGCCCTACTACAAATGTAACCCTAATCATGGAGTGGGCTGTCCTGGCCATTTTATGAATGACAAACAGCCAATTCCCATCATACTTAATATTGTATTAAATTTATATATATATATATATATATATATATATATATAAGAAAAGAGATATAAAATCACTTATAATGACACCATAATTACATTTCCAGTTATATTGATAAAATATGTTAAAAAACTGATTAATTTCATGGAATCCAATGCAAATATTTTGTAAAAAATTACCGGCAAAGATCGGACGGCCATAAACATTTTATTTAAAATCAAGTGGAAATCTTAGCGGTGGATTTGTTGATTAATTAGTCCATTTACCGTTTCCCTGTCCGAGCAGGTACCGCCAAAGCACCCCCCATCAACCAACTGCTACCACAGAATGCGTGCTTCGCTGTTGATCGTCCGATTCGAATCGAACGGCATATATGAATTTAAGGCATTGGTCCCACTTTCTTTTTCTGATTTACGAGCAGGACGGCGACGGAGGTATGAGGAGATCATCGGGCTGCTGACGGTCCCCCCACACGCATTTCACCACGTGTAGATTTTTTTTTGGTACTATTTTACTAAATTATTTTTTTGTTTTTGACTTATTGTGTAATTTGTGGGTTGGTATGGTCATTTGGAAAAATTATTGTAGGAGGACGCAGCTCCGCATGTAGAGTTTCTTGTGGAGTCCAAATGAAATCACGCCACGTGAAGGTACAGAAAAAAAAAAAAAATCGGCTCTGTAACACAGGAGAATATTCCCCCCGTATTATTCTATTGTATTCAGGTGTTATTGTGTTCAGGGAATATTCCCGGTATTATAATAACACAATAACACATCAATAACAATTGAATAACACACAATAAAATTTGAATAATACACAATAATATCTGAATAACACGGGATGAATATTCTCTTGTGTTACCAGGTATATTTTATTTTTTTTCCTGTCTCCGCCACCTGACGTGATTTCATTAGACTCCACCACCAGGGTGGACTATTTGTGTGTGTACGTGTGAAAAGGTGCATTTTACTTTAAAAAAAAATAAAAAAATGATATTTTTAATGTGGTGTAAAGTTGTAAACGTAAAAATTAAAGTTCAGGTGTCAGACCTATAAATATATAGGAATTGAGTGGTATACATGTAAATGCCCCCATAATAATAATAAATACTTGAATCCTACAAATCATATATTCATTGCACGTAAAATTACATACATAACACTCAATTCGAATGAATGTATTCATCTCACATCCGAAGTTTCATTTTCACACACATAGTATTTTACCTAAGAATGAAAAAATAGATTTAACTATTAAAATATAATAATGAAAAAGATGGATTTGGCTTTAATTTTTACTTTTAAACCATTTTAATGTGCTTTAAAATGTGTTTTCCGTTTTTTAAAAGTTAAAATAATGATATTCTTTATATAATATATGGGTGGTAAAAATATAAAAATAAAACTTTAGTGTTAGATATGTAAACAAATAGGAAATATGTGGTATTTATGTAAATGTCTCTTTATTAAAGTGAGACCCACCGAAATACATCATCCTCGCCGTAGATCACTGTGATCTACGATGTAGATCCGACACTGCATGCATGTATGCAATAATTTTTCTTATTTTTTACCATTTGGCTCCGTTTTTTTACCATTTGGCTCCGTCAGCCTTAAATTTAGAGCTGATGAATTCGGATCTGTTGCACGAAATTCAAAGATTCCAATCAATTAATGACTCATTTAATATAAGTTAGCTTTAGTTAGTAAGGCTTTAACAAGAATATGTTTAGTGGTCCTCAGCGTTAATTTGGGCATTAAAAGAGGGGAAATTACTGCACCATGGAATGGATGAATCTTAAACAATTATTAAAGCAAAATGTAATAATTATTTTCTTCTATGTTTATTGATTATGAATTTTCTTTTGTTATTTTTAATTTATTTATTTTAAATACCTAATTATTTATGTATGTGGGTGTGAACGAGTTTTGACTCGAGCTCGTGCTTAATTAATTAATTAAATGTGATTGAATTTGAGCTCGACCATGATTATATAAGTTCTAGTTGTCTCTCGAGCTCATGAGCTAATTTATTTATTACAAAAGAGAGAAAGTATAGTTATAATTTAAGTAATTGTGTTAATAAGTTAACTAAAGAAATGTGAAATTAGAAGAAAAATAATAATTAGGGTTGCATTTTAACAATTTTCAGCAATTCGGTAATTGAATTAACAAAATTTTAATTTATTTTAAGTATATTTTATATTAGTAATTTTTAGTATAGTTGGCTTGTAAGCTAATGAGTTGAATCAAAGCTAGCTTAAGTTTGAGTCAGAGCTCATCAAGCGTGACTTATGAGTCATTTATCGAGTTAAGCATAAGTTGGCTTGCATATGTCATATAAATGTAAAATTGCAATGATTGTATTACATAAATAAGATGAATTTATGTGTTGAATCCAAAAATGTTGTGTGGATCACGCCCAAGAAACGGAGCGTCAGACAGACGAGCGGAATGGAAAAGTTGAGAGCATAACAACACATATATTTGAGGAACAGGTTCAGTAGTCACTTCTTGAAAAAAGGAACCATCTATTTATAGATTATAGGGAGTGTCTAATAAGTTACATATTAGCCCCTGTTTAAATAGAAATGTTACAAGTGATTAATGTGTTATTTCCCTTTTACATATTTGTTACTGACCCTGGGATCTTTTAATATTTGTAAGCGTCGTTAGTACCATTTTTTAATCACGACTATTTGAAGCGTGGTATTAATGATCCGCGGTTGTTAGCATTCAATTGTCTGATAATCATTCGGTTCAGTGAAAAAATCCTTCGAACAGCTGAAAGGTCTATCAATGGCCTTTTTGAGGGAATCCTTCATAGAAACCT